CTGCCTCGCGTGGGCGTCGCGTGGCCTGGGTGTTGCGGCGACAGCGGCGGACGCGCGCGACATGGCCAGCTGGGTGTTCTGCAATCGCTGCTTCCAGCCGCCCCACCCGACGCTGAGCTTCAGCCTGACCAGCTGCGGCCACGTGTACTGCGATGTCTGCCTGGGCAAAGGTGGGCAGGGTGGGCGGACGTCTGCAGGAAGAGAGGGAGGGGCCGCCGTCCGTGTGTCTTTGTTGGGGGAGCCCGCAGGCGAGGGTCAGGCTGGGGGGCGTGCCCCCGGGGCGCAGCCGAGGAGGCCGCGAACCGGGCTCTGTGGCATGGGGGTAGGGCGAGGCAGGTCCTGAGGGGGGTTCCCTTCTCCGTCCAAGCTGCAAGGGGGGTCGTTCCACATAAGGAGTGGGAGAACACCCAGAAGACTGGAGGGTGCCCAGCCGGGTGGCAGAGCCAGCACTGTTGGAATCCACGAATCTGAGGCCACTTCTCGTGCGGCGATGGTTTTCCTGGATCTCATTTGCAAAGACAGCTGGGTGTGGGCCGAGTGTGGGCCGGGTGTGCCGCCCGTGCTGCCCCGCTCACCGGTGGACCTGCGCTCTGGGCCGATTAGGGAAGAACGGAAGCTCGGAGTGGGGAGGAGGTGCAGAGCTCGGGACTAGGGTCTCTGCTGCCCCTACGCAAGGAGCTGGCACCAGGGCGGTGGACAGTGGGAGGGGGCTCTGGGGTGCAGGCCATGGCGTGGGAGAAGGTGCCAATGTGGGGGGCAGAAGGCTGATGTTAGCGCCAGACCCACGGAGGTGCGGGTTTCCATGGTGATAGCTAGAGTTTCAGAGAGAGGAAAATGGCAAAATAGGTCCTCCAGTCGCTGTGGATGTGGGGCAAAGACGTATTAACCTTTCATTCTTGAGTCCTAACACTGTCTTGCTGTAGCAGGAGCTCAGTAAATACTTCTAAACTGTTTGCCCAGTGAGTGGATGGGTGAGGTGTCCCTGGTGTTGCAGAAGTGAGCACGAGGGGGCAAAACAAAGCTTATTTTATCTGTTGGGGGAGCTATTTTCAAAGTAAGGTATCTCTATGGAATCTAATTGTAAGACATATCGGGGATAGATTTAAGTGTAAGTATTGTTGATCTTTATGGTCGCTATTTTGGGGCATATTTGCAAAGCAGGAAAAAAAGGATTGTATAAATTTTTTTCGACTGTATTCATACCCGCGGTCTCCTCTACTGTCTGAATGTGAAAAACGTAAGTGCTATAATCCAGTATGTTTTTTGAAGAAGCGTTATAATCTAAAGTCTACATGTATATGTGTTTAAAAGTACTACTTACAATAATGTAGTAAAATTTGTTTTTTCTTTCATAGGTAAAAAGGATGAATGCTTGATTTGTAAAGTTCCTTGTCATACGGTTTTACTTTCAAAACATGTAAGTTGAAGTCTGTAGTACCTGAATATTGATCACAGTGTTTCCTTTTAAACTTGAGATTTAATTTTTAGTCATTTGCGTTCTCTAATATTTTTGTTCATTTTACTAGGTCACCTGGACGATTTTACAAGATTTCTGAGTAGTCAAAGTACAATTAGGGTTTGATTTTAAACACCTCATTCAACTTTCATTCTTAAGTGTAGATTGACCTGTTCGTAAGTCTCCTGTGCTGTGTTCTCAGAAATGAAAATGGGTCGAACAGATTTCTTCTATACAATACAAGCTCCTTAACAAGATGATAGAGTTCAGTTTTTCTTCAGGGTTATATCTAGTTAAAAGGTTTAGAGAAAAGTAAGTTTAAAATTGATTACTATTGCAGTAGGCTTAAAATAAGGCCTTTTGCTCTGTCTGTAAAATACATCGGTTTAACTTTTTTGGTTTAAATTTAGTTGCAAATAATTGTTCTCTTTACATTTAAGCACCAGGATATGTATTTGATCCTATATTTTAATCTATAACGATCGCTTTTTTTCTGATTACAAATATAATCCAAAGTTACACAAAATGCAAATGATACAGAAGATGCTAGTGGGGAATATGGAGGTCCCCCAGATCCCGCCTGCCGAAGACCAACAGCCAGGCATGGAGTACCTGCTGTGCGTATGTCGCTGTGATTTATCTTATAAAACTGTTGTTTTTTTCCAGTTGACATACTTTAGGCACACCCCACTCTTTAAATCTACTACAAAATTTTTTACTGTTTTCCTACTGGTAAACCTTTGGTTTTTTTTTTCAGTTTTTCACTATTTCAAACAATTTTATAGTGAATATTTTTTACCAATATCTCTGCATACTTGTAAGAATATTTATGTAGCATAAATTTCTAAAAGCAGGAAGCCTTGTTTTCCTCCGAATGTGTCCGTTTAAATTCTCAGGCACAGTGCCTACGTCTAGTACTTGCACGGCTGGTCAGGCTTACAGGAGAGGGAGGGGGACCCCTCGCCTAGCTCTGCCTTCCTGGGGTGAATGTTTAGTCCATTTATTTTCTTTCTTGTTTCCCAGTAAATACGTTTAAAACCATCCATTTCCTTCTTGTCACTGCCATTCCACGTGACTTTGAATATTGATTTTCTTATTTGTAATCAGTCTCCAATCTCTCTACTTCTTTTTTTAGCTCAAGAATTATTTGGAAGAATGCGCTTTAATTTCTAAGTGGTTAGATTTTATCTTCACTGTCATTTTTGTGGCAGTTTTAGTTCGATGGCACTGTGGCCAGAAAATACGGCTAGGTGGTTTCTTTTTTTAATTATCGAGATTTTCATTGTGGCTTAGTACGTGGCAATTGTCCATGTCCTCCGGGTGTCTGACAAGTGTAGATCTTGTCCTCTGTGAGTACACTTTGAGAGAGGAACGTTGCTGAAAACGCAGAGGTCCTTCCTGACCCTTTTTCTCTCACACCGCATTCTAGCCCATCAGGAACGTCTGTGGGCTCTTCAGCAGTCCCCTCACGGTCCTGTCTCTCCCTGTCCCCACGGCCCCTCCCCCAGGGAATCTTCCACCTCCAGCTCCCCTCGCTTCTCACCCTGCAGCCCAAGGGACTTGCCTCCACATGGGCCACGGGTCCCAACCTGCCAGGAATAAAATCCCAGCCCCCTCCATGGCTCTGTGGCTTGGCCTCTGGTGGACATCTGGTCCCCAGGCCAGCAGCTCTGACCTGCCGCAGCTCCTGGAGCCTGGCCCTGGCGTGTTGTCTCCCTCCCCCCCTGCCCTCAGGTCTCTGCTGCAGTCCTGTGTCGCGTGGCTTCTTTGACCCTTGACGCCAGGGCACAGTGGGTATACATGCTCTTTGCCTGTTCTGGGGTGTCCCTGCCGCCCTGGGGTCCTTTACTGAGGCCTGTTGGTGAGAAATTCTCAAATTATCAAAAGGTCTGCCTTCATTATGAGGCATATTTTCACCGGGTCGAGAATTCTGTATTGAAAAGGAATGCTTTCTGTGGCTTGAGTAATGTCACTATCTGCTCATCCTTGGGTTTTCACAGTTTGTCTGTTGTGTGTACAGTTATCCTGCTGGGCTTCATGGAGACATGACAATCTGTCCAGTGACGTCAGTTGTTGGATGAGAGGTTCTTGGCCATTCTGCTCCATACACTCAGTCCCACTTGGGGTCTCTGTCCCTGTAGAATGAAGTCACACCTGCCTGTCCCACTCAGGGCCTCTCGCGAGAAGAGTGACTGATGCCCGCTCACCGAGGCAGGGCGCCTTGTTCATCAGTGACAGCATTTCCCATTGCTTCCAGCCATGCTCTGTTGGGGGCGCTCTCCCATTTTCTGTTGCCTGGGGAAGAGGCTCCGACGTGTGGGCCATCTACCTGGGCGGAAGGTTGGGTGGTGCAGGGCAGGGCTTGGGTGTCTGGTGCCCCTGCGCCTGTAGTGGCCAGGTCCTCACGGCTGCGTGGACGCTCCCTCTGAGGCCTGGGAGTGGGTCCTGGGGCTGCTTCACCTGCCAGCCTACTCTGCCCTCTCCAGGCACCCCTGTAAGGCCTTGGCCCTTCAAGGGGGCATTCCTCATTTCTGCCAGGGATCTACTTCCCCCTAAATTTAGTTTTACTGTCATTCCCATGGAGTTTGGGGAGCACAGGCAAGTTAAACAGATGCTTGTGTCACACTCTCAGTTCTGAAGCAAAGACCAGACTGCGGGGGGCACGAGGCCCTCCCACGTCGCCTCAGCCTGGCGCGTGTCCCCACGGGGCCTGCTAGGTTCTCACCCTTCCGCGTCTGGTTCAGGGCAGCTCCTCCCACATCCACGCGGGACACCCGTAACCTTCCCTCCCCCAGAGCCTTCCTGACTGGGGTGGGTCTCTCCTGACAGCTGAGGACTTGTGGCCCGGAGGGCTCCGCCAGCTGCCAGGCCACGCCACCCTGCCATCCTCTGTGGCGGCGGTACTGCCCTCACCCCGTAACCCTGGGCAGCCAGGAGGTGGGCGTCCCTCCAGAGCCCTTGGAGACAGTTGGGGAGGCGCTGGCCGTCCATGTCCCCGAGGTGCACTCTGGCGGGCGAGCATATGTGAGGCGGCAGACGAGACGGCGCTTTCTTTCTCTCGCAGACAGACGCGAGCATCCAGGCCCTCTTCGCGGGCATAGACAGTCTGTGCAGGAAGTACTCCAGGGAGACCTCCCAGGTGAGCGTGACATGGGGGCCCACCGTGCGCCAGGTGTGGGAGCGGTCCCTGCCCGCTGTGTGGTGGCAGGTGCCTCCTGCCCCCGCGCCATCTTCACTGTGGTGACGCCATTGGCTCTGCTCTATTGCTGCTGCTTATGTCCTTGCCCTGGTTGACCCACGGTGTCATTTGATTAGGATGCCCCACTTCAAGGCGGACCTTAGAATCTTGGGTTTGGATGCGCCCCCAGGGTTGGGGCGTCTGCATCTGGCAGCAGCTGCCTCTGACACTGTCCTTTCCTGAGGGTCACCGGGCCACGGCGTGTGACTCCCGAGCCCTCCCACTCAGGCACACTCGCCCCGACCCCAGCCTGGCAGGCTGTGAACCCGAGTCGTCCAGTCCTCCCTGCCTGCTGCCTGGACGTCCGGGAAGCTCCTGGGAGGGGAGGGGCCCTGCCGCTTCCATTCCCGCTGCGGCCTGCGGCCCGCGGCCCGAGGCCGAGGGACAGCACTGCTCACCCCAGCTGTCCTCAGCTTGTTAGCTGGTCCGTCTGAAAGCCAAGACCACCCCGTTCTCTGGGAGGCTGCTCCCTGGCTCAGCACCCATGGTGTCATGGCTGTCCCCTGTCATCCTGGAGGCCCCAAGGGGATGCATGGATGCCCTAGGACACAGCATCGGCACAAAGCGGTTGTCAGGCAGGACCGACTTCACAGTGGGACCCTCTCTCAGGCCAAGTCCAATGGGGCCCGGAAGCTGGCGTGTTCGTGAGCTGGGGCACGTCCTCCCTCACGACCTTCGGGACCACAGACAGCCTCACGCCTGGAGCAGTGTTGCCGAGAAAGGGGCCTGTCAGAAAGGGCCCCGGGCTCCCTGGGGAGAAGGCAGGGCAGGCCGGTCCCGCGTCTCAGACCATGAGCCCCACGCAGAGTGAGGGCCGTGCAGCCGGCTGCGGGTGAACCCCGTCCCCTGGGCCGCATCATCTCGGCTCTCCCAAGTGCCAAGCAGGGATTCCAGACACCTCGTGGCCAGGGAAATCGCAGTTTGTCATTTACATCAACATATTGGCTTTACTGTTATGTTTAAGTAATGTTTTAAGTTCTTCTTGGTATGAACTCCCAGTAGGGTAAACGCTGACAAAGGAGGCCCACGTAAGACAAGCTCTCTGGGGCCTCAGTAACCTCAAGCCAGCTGAGGCCAAAACTGTGGGCCCAGTGCCCATCAGCCCTCACATCCTTGGGAAGGAGCAGAGGTCAGGAGGCTGTGGAGAGGGTGTCGGTCACACCTGCCCGGTCCACATCCTAGAGATGGCCGTGACCACACAGGAGGCACTGGGGACCCTCTGGGTCAGCATTCTCCTTTCCACGGGTGCTTTTCTCACTTCGGTGTCGGGAAACGACCCTGCTCTGAAATGTCACCGCCTGCTGTTTGTCGCTCATGCTCTCAGGAGCCAGTCCAGCCTGTGTGCACTGCCATCATACAAGGTGGGCACCTACGAACGCGGACGCAGCTGGAACCTAGGCTCAGTCACTGGCTCTGGGAAGCTCTCGGCTCCGCCGGTCTGTCCCGTCCCACCCATCCCAGCCCTGGTCCATATAGTAGTTTCATGGGGTCTTCGCTGGCACCGTTTGGTCAGGAGGCCATCCCGTGTTGCCAGGGGTATGGTGCTCTGTGATCGGCCCACATGGGTCACGTCCCTCCCATGGCCAGGGTCCAGAGCATCACCGAAGGCTCACGGGAGGGGACAGAGCGGCCCTCGGTGTCCTGCCGCTGTCTGTGGAACATGTGACCCTCACAGCATTTCATTCGAGCGCGCCTGCTGCGCTCGTCCCCCGGGGCCTGCTCCCCGCACAGGCAGTGCCCATGTCCGGGTGGGCGGGCCGCGGGCCACGGGTGTGGAGAACACAGAGCGTGGCCGTGAGCCGGTTTCAGCAGCTGACATCTGTTATCGTCTCAGGTTTCAGAATTTCAAGAAAATCACCGGAAGAGACTGTTAGGCTTCTACAAAGAAAAGGTAAAGCCAGTTGCTTTTTTGCTGCGTCAAGCGTTAACCTGATTTCACGTCAGACTTGTCACCCAATGCCGTGTCTCAAGGCAGAGGGCCACTGGGTGACATCTGTCCTGTGGCCCCTTGGTCCCTTGTACAGTGCCTGTCAGCCAAGTTGCTGCTGGGGCCCAGCTGTGTTCACTGGGCCAGCTTTATCTCGGAGCCTCATCCTGACCCAGGGTGTTCCCCAAACTCATGGGGCACTTGATGAACTCTCATGTGCTCTGGCTGGTCCTTAAACAAGGAAGCTCGAAATGCCTGTTATTTGCCCTACAAACACCCTCCTCCCTTGATTTCCAAACTAAAGAAGGATAACGAAGCTTCGCTGGGAACAGACATCAGAGCTTCGGCTCTGCCTCGGATTAAGCCTTCCAGAGGGATGGCAGACGCAGGGCGGAGGCGGGAGGGCACAGGGTCGAGGTCAGCCCAGAGGGGCTGGGGGCCACCCTCCAGTGGCTACACCCCACAGACACAACCCATGGGATACACCGCGCAGATCACGCCCCACAGGCCACGCCCCACAGGCCGTGCTTGCCTGGCCGGGAGGGATCGGGGCTGCAGAGCCCGGGTGGCAGCTTGAACTTCGGTCGGCTGCACCGTTGTTTGTTCCATAAAACCTCTGAGCATTATGGAGTAAGTAGGGTAGGCAGCCTGGCCTCGAAGCCACAGATCTTTGAATTCCCCTCGAGTGTGGAAGCCGCCTGGGACCCATCCTGCGGCCCCTGCCACCTCTCTGTGGCCATGGAAGGTGTAAGTGCGGCACAGGCCCTTGGGCCCAGCCAGCGAGGTGCTTGGTGCCTCCTGCCATCTCCCTTGGTCACGTGCCCCAGGCCGTGGGTCTGCACAGAGGTGGATGAGCCTGAGGAGGTGAGTCCCAGCCCGGCCCGGCCCGGTGGGCAGTGTCCACAGGGCTGTCCAGTGTGCTCCGCCTGGCCACAGCCCTATCTGCCCCCTCCCAGGCTCCTGGCCCCGCCTCTTGTGTCTTCCCTGTTTGTCCTCACAGCAGACCAAGGGGGGCGGGTGGCATTAACCACGTCTGCGGAGGCAAGCATGGGGGTGGAGGATGTCGGTAGCCATCTGGAGTTCTCATAGCTGCCGCATGGCCAGGCTGGGACCCAGGTCCTGACATACCACAGACACAAGCACACCGGGGCACGTGGACTGGCCGACACCGAGGCCAGGTGCCCAGATGAGGGCCCAGGGACTGACGGGAGCCCAAGCTCAGCTCCCCTGGTGCTGGTGGTGCCAGGTCGGGGTCTGCCTGTGGCTGCGCCAGGCCTGGCGCCCGCCCACCTGCAGAGCACGGGAGGGCAGCTCCTCAGTGACACATTCTGATCCAGGTCTAAGGAGGGAGAGGCCTGCGTGTTCCGCTGTCAGTCACCTGCCCAGCCTGGCTGCTAACTGGAAGTCCTTTCGTTCTGTTTAGATTTCTAAGCTGGAAGATTCCCTCAGGAAGTCCATGCTGCGGATGGAGAAGCTGCAGAGGTAGGCCCCCCGGCTGCAGAGTTGGGTCCCCCAGCACACGTGCGAGGCTCCACTGGCCCACCTCCATGAGGTGTCATAGCAAGGGAGCAGAAGGAAGCTCTGCATTCACCAGAAACGCTGTCAAAGCAGAAACGTGGTGGGAAGCTGAGGGGGAAACGGAGACAGAGAAAAGGTACAAAAGCTCTGGGGGGCCGCGTGGGGGCCGCGGCTCCTGGGCGACGGAGGGGCCGACACGGTGCGCCATGCTGCCCGCCGCGCCCGCGGTTCTGGAGCACACGGTGCCGGTCCTGCTGCGCCTGTGAGGCTGGAGGCTCAGGGGTCCCGGTGTGGTGGACGGTGCTCGCCGTGTGGGTCACCGGTGCACGCGGCCCGCTGGGCCCTCGACTCTGAGACTCTGAGACCGTTAAATCATGTGCAGCCCCACTCTGCTCAGCTCTCCTGCTCACACTCGGTCAAGCTCTTTTGACTGCTCTGTTTAAGACTTCTGGAACATTCCTGGTCACTTTTACTGCTGCGTTGCCTGCTGACTTTTGTGCCTCACCGGCAGTTTATTTCCTAGACCTGAAATCCTCAGGCGGCCAAACGTGTATTTTTCTCGGCTCTTGATCGAGATGGAGCATTTGTGGCCTGCTGGCGAGTAGTGCCAGGTCCTCACGGATCCTCACGGGGGCTCACCTGGGCGCACCTGGCGTGGCCTGTGTTCTCCTGTGGGGAGGAGCCTGTGCACTGCCCTGGCCGGGCTCCCTTCCCCAGACCACATCTGCCCCGTCCACCCCACCCATCTGGCCAAGCGTAGGTCCCACGGTGCAGGTGTCACTGCCACCCATTGTCACAGGCTGTCTTTGGGGGAGACCTGCTTCTGTGGAGCCGTTTGTGGGCAGGAGGGCGCGCCCTGCGGGGCAGCTGAGCCCCAGCACTGCCCAGCGGTCAGTCCCTGCTGTGTCCTCACGGTTAGCCACAGGCTGAGTGCCTGTCCTGGGGGCGGGGTCCAGGGAGAGCACTGGCTGTGGGAAGTAACGTTTTGTGATTTAATGAAATTTTTTTTCATCTGTTTAGTACAAGATCATTGAAAGAAACGACCTTCAGCACAGTAAAAAACCCAGTGCTGAGTACGTGAGGTCAGGCCCGCAAGGGAGGGTCGGGTGGGTGCCACAGGCACGCGGGGTGCGCTGACGCTGGGCTGTCTCACCACAGCCCCTGTGGCCAGGCCCGATGGACACCTGCTCCTGCCCCCTGCATCCCCAGCCTCTGGAAGGTGTGTGTGGCGTCAGGGCTGGTCGGGGACTTTGTGGACGTGGCGTGGCTGGGCGACATTTCTAAGTGGCACATACCCTTCTTTGACATCCTACATTCACCCCTTCCCTTTGCCCTCCAATTCCCCAGATCCTGGACACTCAGCAATACCTGGCATGGGCCCCCGGGGCTCACCCCTCCCACTCTTGGCCGTCCTCACAGGCCGCAGAACCAGGGCTGTGGTCCAGGCTAGCCGGTCACAGCTCCGTCCCCGGGGCTGCTTTAGGAGTGGCCATGTGACTGGGCTGGACCAGTGGCGTCACCCCAGACTCCTTCCTCTGCCATCAGGATGGTGACAGATGCAGCACAAGGGAAAGGACGGGGTGGCCACTGTGCCGGCGGTCCCTAGGCTGCGGGTGCCTCCACCTTTGTTGTCTCCTGAAATGGCAGGAGTTGGGTCATGTGCGACGCAGAAGGTCCCGCATGTGCCCTCCTGGCAGCTGGGCCTCTGGCGTGGAGTGTGCAGCAGATGCGGTTGATCTGGTCTTCCTTCCCCCTTCGTCCTTTGTCCTTCTGCCTTTTCCTCCCGTGGGGACGCCCAGACCACGTCTCCTTATCAGCCTTTGGGCACTAAGTTAAGGAACGACGTCTACTGAGCTCGGGCTATGAGCGCGTTGGCCGGGCAGCAGAGGGAACCGATGTGAGCCAGACGCCGCAGTCGCGAGGCTGGGCGGGACCCGGAGAGGCCCAGAGCCCGGCCAGCCGCTGTCACCAGAGGCCTCCGTGTTCCCTGGCGGTGTGGTTTTACAGATGGCGACAGTACGGGGTTTGAGAAGGGAAGTGACGGGTGGGACCAGCTGAGGAGATGTGGGCGTGTCTGGTCTTGTTTGGGGTACACCCTGCTGCAGAGAGGCCCCAGTCCCAGTCGATGCGTCTCTCTGCTCATTTTACAGAGTGGAGCCCATGGACGTGGACCTTACCCCGTCCCCAAGAAGGGTAAGCGCCCCCGTCCCTCCGTGCTGCTAGTTTCCTGGACACGCGGCACCCGGTGTCTCCCGGCACTAGGAAACATCGCCATTCGTGTCACGACCTGATCGGCGCGAGGCGGGCGGCGTGCTGGCGTGTCCAGCACACACCTCCCGTCCCAGGTCCCCAAGCGGCCTCCGGCCCCCAACACTGCCACTCTCAGTGCCCGGCACGCTCCAGCCCTGCGAACGGCACGCCGCGCCGTCACTCACGTGGGTTTCCAGGGGACGGCCCTGTGCACCGACAGGGTTTTAAACTTTCTGACGCCAGCCGAGGACTTCGTCTGCTTCTTTCGTTTTCTGATTATCGGAAGCGCTTAGTCCTCCGTCCACTCACTGCTGTGGGCACTGTAGGGGACACCCGTCCTCACAACATCTGCGTCCCAGGCACACCCGGTCACCCAGCGGTGTGTCAGGCTGACTAGGAGCCATGTCCCCAGTGAGCGGGGAGACGTGCGCCAAGCAGCGCTTTGGAACGTCGTCAGCCCTTCTCTTTATGTTCGTAGCCGGAGATGGCCGCTGGCCCGGCCAGGATCTCTCTGATCAGCCCCCCGCAGGACGGACGCATGGGTAAGCCAGAGTTCTGACGGCCAGTGCCCGCTGGGAAGGGGCACAGGGCTTACAGGTCGCCCGCCGGCCATCACCGTATCGCAGCCTCCAGGCGAGCGGGCACAGGCAGCAGTGGCCTCTGAGCCATGTGTCCTCACTAGGACACACAGAGCCGTGCCTCGGGCACTCCAGGGAGACGGGTTTCGTGGTCCCAAGAGTGGCGTCTTGCCCTCCGAGAAGTCAAGTGTTTGTAGTTTAAGTTTTTCCACTGGAAATCTGTGTCAGATGCATCCAGTAGCAATGCTTTGCTGCGCTGAAATCGCGGGGTGCGGGAGGCGCACGGGTCAGGAGGACCAGGGGGCTGCGCAAGCGGAGCTGTGGGGGTGGGGACGTCTCCTTCCCTAATGCGGCCTGGCCTTCACGTTTGACTGTCCCGCAGGCAGCGTCTCCCGCGGCACCCCTCAGCACCTCAGCCTGCCGCCCACGGCGCAGGCTCTCAGGTAGGTCTGCTCAGCTCCTCAAAGGCGCCAGGAATGGGGCACAAGCAACGAAACGTCCCACAGCCCAGCTCCCCGGGAGGG